TTTTTATTGCCATTTCCAAAGCAGACATTACCTCCATTTAAGTCCTCAAGTGAAAAGAACTGGTTCTTGCTTCCAGTCATATGCTTTGAACAACCAATATCCATGTACCATATTTGGATGCTCCCTTTCACTTGGACCTGCAAAGAGAAATCAGGGGTTAGTCTTAGGAACCCAAACTAGTTTGGGTCACTTTCTATAGGCAAAATGGTGAATTAAATTCTTTTTAGCCCATCCTGGCAGCCTATTTTTTCCTTGAACAAAAGTTTTGTTCTTTTGATTGGCCTTTTCTTTTGCAGTACACTCACTTTTGTAGTGACCAATCTTTCCATAGTGTATGCAAATTTTGTTCTCAAGAAGAGTGATGTACTTGCTTTTGGGATCCCACTTAGGTGCATGGGTCCCATAGCCAAGTCCTCTCTTATTGCTACAATGGAGTTCTTGATGCCATGATAGTGTATTCTATTTCATTTACATGTTCTGTCTAGTTCATGCTTCACCTTGCTTAGATCTTCTTTTAGGACTCTTATCTGCTCATCCCTTTTGTACAACTCATCCTTCATTTTTTTTAGATTTTCTTCTAAGGTGAGATGTGTGTGATCAACTTTCTTTTTACCTGTTCCTAATTTCAGTTTTAAATTTTCAGATCTAAGCTCTAGCATAGTGGAATCGAGTTCAAGAACCTAGTTCTTCAAATCAGCATTTTTACTATCACTTTCACTAGTCCTGAGTTCCAGATTTTTGCACTTAGCTTTCACAATTACACATTCTTTAGATATCTGGTCCTTTTCGTTGTTTATGACCTCAGATTCATCAATGAAATCTAGCAGTAACTCAGATAGATTTTCATTAGACAAAAATTTAATCTTGTCTTTGAGATGAATCATACTTAACTCTGATTCCTCATCAGATTCTCCAATGGCCATAAGTGCTTGTTCATCTCCATCTCCATCTTCTGAATCCTCATCTGAGCTCTCTCCCCAAGCAGCAACCATAGCCTTTGTTGATCCTTTGTTTTTCTTGGGATGAACTTGTTCCTTCTTCCTGTTTCTTCGTTCAGCCCTTTCCTTCTTCCATTCAATTTCCCATTGAGAACAGTTTTTGATCATGTGGTCAGTCTTACCACATTTGTAACAGCCGTCGTTGGTCTATTTTTCAGGGACTCTTGGTTTGTTCTCTTGAAGAATCCTTTCCTCTCATTAGATACTTCTTGAAATCCCTTGTGATCAAAGCCATTTCATCCTTCTCTAAACTGCACCTTCAGCGATTCTGAGAGCTAGGCTCTTTTCCTTCTTGGGTGCATCCATCATCATAGTTTTCCTTCTAAGTTCATAGGCAATGAGATTTCCGATTAGCTCGTCCAACTTGAGAGTGGAAATGTTCTTTGATTCCTGAATATCAGTGATTTTGCTTTCCCAAGTAACTGGCAAAACTCTTGTCAATATTTTCTCAACCTTGTCTTCTTCAAGGATTATCCTTCCAAGAGACTTAAGTTTATTTGTTAGTGTTATGAACCTTGTATACATCTCTTGGAAAGTTTTTCCTTTCTTCATGGTGAAATTCTCATATTGAGAGTACAATAGTGTTCTTCTTGATCTCTTCACTTGATGATTTCTTTCATGAGCCACTTGCAAAGTGTCCCAAATTTCCTTAACAGTAGTATAACTTTGAATTCTCCTGTACTCGTCTGGACTAAGTCCACAGACAAGCTATTTCTTGGCCTTAGCATTCTTTTCCCACTTTTTCAAGTCCTCGGCCATGCAGTCAGCTCTTGTTTTTGGCACTTCTACTCCTTCAACAGTCTTTTTCATGGTAGCCAGGGGACTGTCAGTGACAATGTTTCATAGCTCATAGTCTTCTTCGATGATGTGATCTCTCATCCTATTTTTCCACCAAGAGTAGTATTGGCCATTAAAGAGTGGAGGCCTAGCGGTGGATTGCCCTTCCCAGTTTTCAGGTGGTGCGCTAATCTTGATATGTTCTTAAGGTGTTAGTCTCTTCAAGGATAACCTGCTCTGATACCAATTGATGTTTTATACTTCAATACCACACAAGAGGGGGGTGATTTGTGTGGTGTCCAATTTTTTGCTTAAACTGATTATAGAAGGACCTGGTTCTTCTATGTATTCCAACTACTACTGTTGCGAAATAATAAGTACAAAAATTAAAGAACACAGAAATTTTACGTGGAAAATACCTGGCTCAAAAGGTGAAAAAACCATGACCTACTTTCCAGTAGAGTTTTCCCAAACACTCCACTAAAATCACTGAGTCAAAAACTGCATTTACAAAAACTCTTTAGGACTAACTTTAGTCCCGTTGTAGCACACAATCTCAACTGTTGCGACAACTTCAAATTAACTCTAACTTGAAAACTCTGAGTACATAATACAATTGCTTCTAGATAAAGCTGAGAGGTACAATATGAAAACACATACTACAATTGAACTAGAATAAAAGACCGACACTTGGAACTGGTTATTCTATCTGGTTCAAGTAGCTTCAGGTTTGCACGCTTGAATCACACACAAATTGCTTGCAAAATTGCCTTGTTATTTTGCTCTCAATTCACATTTAACTTCTGTTTATGTGCGTTCCCTGTACAAGAGAACAACATTAATATTTATAGAGTTAGTAAATAGAGATTGACTAGAATTCTGATGCTACTCTTCCTTGGTGGAAAAGTTCTAGTTGATCTCAACCTCTAACTCTATCCTTCTCTTAAACCGTGTTCTCTTTGAGTAAGGAGTCCTTCTCCTCATCCAATATGCAATCTTTTCGATCAGGATCAGGAGATATTACTTCATTCAAGAGATATCTTTTCGATAAATTTATCTCCTTCACGTGCATCTCACATGCTTAAGTTTGTCCATATCTGTGCACTAGGATGAACCTGGCTCATGTCTGAGTTCCTTTGTCAATCTTCAAAACTTAACCTTTACTTGGGCCAACTTAAATACTAATCAAAAGATCTCATTCCATGTATATATTTGACATCTTTTTCCAATTACACCTAAGTAATTCATATGCCAAAATTAGGAAGTATATTTGTGTGGTTCCTCTAAAACGATAAAGATGAGACAATAAATGTGTTATTAGTATGTTTTCAATGTTTAGGAGGTTGAGAGAAGGTTATAATTCAATTAGCTCGACTAAATTTGAACGGGTTACATTTAACGAATGAAAATTAAAACCCTAAATTTCCCATAACACTTTTATTCTACCTCTTAATATTCGTCCGGCTCCACAACTCTGATACCATATTATGATAATCCATTTGGTACATTACAGTCTTGTACTCTTTCCGTTCACTTTTAGTTGTCAAGCATTCCAAAAATAAATTTTTATTTTTACTTGTCACTTTTTGCATATCAAGAGAAAAATAATTTATTTTTCTTGTTTTGCCCTTAGTATTAATTATTCATTTCAAATTATTTTTCAAATCCATTAAGTCTATAAACCAATTAATACAAGTATCATGGTAAATTATGCACTTTATTTATTATTTCTTAAGGAGTGTGCAAAGTTAATAGTGGACAAGTAAAAGTGAATGGGGTACCATTTAGTCTAATTGACCTCACGAATTTGTCTCTAAACTCATTAATTGTTGAGTCAACTTCTCTGTTTTGTTGAATAATCACTACAAATTTGAGTTCGACACATTTTAATAAATTGTGCATAATTACTAGCACAATAAATTAAATAAAAACCGCATTTTTAGACAAGATCTTAGGGCATTTACTAAAAGATATGGAAATGGAGCTAATATGCTTTAGCATTACATGATCCTTTGATGAATTTCACACAATGATTAAGTTGAATATAAGTATAATTTGTGTTGAAACTATGGTACTCAATATTTGTTCATATTAATCACAAAGTGTGGTAAGTTGTATTTATCATTAAAGATTATTCATAATTTTATAGTTTAACCTAGCTGTAAATTGCATCCTCGCCATTTCACTCGGAAAAAAAGAAGAGATGATCTACAAATCAATTGACTAGAAAGAACAGTATGATCATTTTCCACTACATAATTTGGACCAAAAGAAAAATGCATAAAACGGGAAGTTTTCTTTTAATCACGCGGTAATTGTTGGGAAATGATTATTGCACTTTAGGAAACAAAACAGAAAGTCATTGCAGCCAAAATGTAATAATGAAAAACTTCAAGGGTCTCTTTGAAAATAAGAAAGTTATGTCGGTAAATTTCACGCGTCAACTACATACAACGGCCCTGATACAGAAAGGAAACCGAGAACTTACGTGTAAGAAAGCGACTGGAAATAGTCACAAAATATCTTAACATAGATTTCACCAAAATAATTTGTGCGTTGCTGCTAGCTAATAATACTACTCCATATAATATACTTATCGTTTTATGTTCATAAATGAATGGTCAAGTGGTCGAGACACGAAAGTAACAGTATAATAATTTAAAGTTAAATTACAGTTAGTTTTTGATGCAAGTTCATCTACTTCAACTTTGCCAAATAAATTATTTTATTAACATGTACTTGCAAGTTTAACAAATTTAGATGCCTTTAGTTAGACCAGACAACACCTATATATAAAAAATTATATATAATAAGATATTTTTCGTAGGCAAGAAGATAAATGTGTAACTTATGATCTTGAATGTCATAAAAGGACAGTATGATTCACTAAGTTCCCGCTATGTCCAAGGTTTGGAGTAGGATCGGACTACAAGGGTCTATTGAACACAACCTTATCAAGCATGGCTGCAAGAGACCGTTTTTTCGGCTCGAACCTGTGACCTCCTGATCACATGACAATAACTTTACCAGTTACGCCAAAATTCTCCTTCATTTGGAATATGTATCTTTAATTTTTCTTAAGAGTATAACTAAAAGTCTTAAATTATTTTTATATATAAAAGTATATTTTCCTTTTAAATAGGGCTTAATAAGGAAATAATATATAATACTAAAGGAAAAAGAGAAATAAAGGAAGTTTTTGCATGTAGTATAAATAAGGATACATATACATCATTAAAGAGCCGTCGTGGCTGAGATTTAGCTAGGCTGGCAAAGGGGGAAATGGCCATCCTCTTCAACTTCCTCAAGCCTCTTCTTCTCCTCCTCCTTACTCTTTCAGGTTTCTCTTTTTCTAACTAACCTTTTTTGTACAAATCTTGCATGTCCTTTTCATCAACTAGTTTGTTTTTATGCTATTTTGGTTCTTGGGTGAGGTAGTTTGGTGGGGTTATCTGGGGGGTGGGGAGTTGGGACTGCCATTTTGGTTATAAAGATTCAGTCTTTTTAAGTTGGTTTCTTGTTTACTTGGTCGGAATTGTAGTATTGCTTGGCCTTTAATGTGAATATGAATTCTTGCTCAAGTGTTTGTCACCAGATTTATGGATTCTTGGTCCTAAGGAATAGGGAATATGTGTTTCTTTATTGGATTATTCTGTTCAGTTATTGAAGATAGAATTGAAGTTATCAGTAGAGGATGGTTTTAGTCATTTGATTGGAAAAACAGAGTTTTTGTTCTGATTTTCTTGGTGAAGTATAGGTGGATATGTGCAGTAGTTAATTTTCTACTGGTAGGTAGTTTCTTAATTGTTAAACGATCGTGTTTTTCACATATTTTCCCCCATAAGGTATTTACTGTTATTTCAACTGTTTGATCAGATTTATTTGGCAGTACCCTCAGCCTTGGAATTGGAATTAACTATGGCCAAATTGCCAATAATTTGCCAACACCGTCGCGAGTTTCCTATCTCCTCAGATCTATCAATGTTACGAGAGTAAAACTTTATGACGCTGATCCAAACGTGTTAAGCGCATTTGCTAACACGGATGTGGAATTCGTTATTGGACTTGGGAATGAGTACCTACAAAGAATGACTGATCCTCAACAAGCTCAGGCTTGGATTCAATCGCATGTTCAACCTTACCATACTCAGACTAAAATCACTTGTATTACTGTTGGGAACGAGATCTTAACGGGGAACGATACACAGATGATGAATAACCTCCTCCCGGCAATGCAAGGTGTATATCGGGCTCTTGTTAATCTTGGCCTTAGCAATGATATATATGTGGCACACGCCCACTCGGCTGGGATCTTGGGCAACTCTTTTCCGCCTTCCTCTGGTTCATTTCGACAAGATCTTGCTGAATACATTCATGGCATTCTCAATTTCCATGCCCAGACCAAGTCCCCGTTCCTTATAAATGCCTATCCATTCTTTGCATACAAAGACAGCCCCGATCAAGTCCCGCTTGATTATGTACTTTTCCGGCCTAATGCTGGTACGATTGACCCAATCACAAATTTAAAGTATGACAACATGTTATATGCACAAATTGATGCAGTTCATTCAGCGATTAAGGCAATGGGCTACTCAGACATTCAAGTTAAGGTTTCTGAGACAGGGTGGCCATCGAAGGGCGACCCAAATGAGTTTGGAGCAACACCTGAAAATGCTGCACAATATAATGGTAACTTGTTTCGGCGTATACAGCAAAATCAAGGAACTCCAGCAAATCCATCTGAGCCCATTGATATATATGTGTTTGCGCTCTTTAATGAAAATTTAAAGCCTGGTCCAGCATCAGAGCGGAATTATGGCCTCTACTATCCCGATGGAACTCCAGTTTATAACATCGGGTTACAAGGATTTCTTCCGCGTATGGATTATTCAGCTGCCAAGAAAAAAGTAAGGAATCTGTTATTTCTTTCTTGCTTGACATGTCGCGTATTTTCTACCAACTTCTTTTAATTCCAAGACTTGTTTCCATGATTTTTCTGAATGTTGAATCTTGCGTATTATACATACTCTTCTAATGTTATCCTTTTATTTTTGTTTCAGGCCTTGTCTGTTTCTGCTTTTCTTCTGCTTGTTCTGGTTTTCTTGATACACTTCTGAAAGTTGTACAATAGATCAAATATGGAGATACAAGTAGATTAGAGATTATTCAATTTTGTCAAGAACTTTTGCTGATAGATAGGTATTAAAGGTAAGAAATACTGTCAACCTCATCTTTCTCCTTATTTATAGGCTTTCGTTATTCCCTTAATTTTCTTAAATCAGTGTGATGTAGTATATATGATGCTGCTTCAAAGTTGGTTTCATGAATTTGCAATTTGTAAGCTGAAAGCCCACCTTATAATATTCTAGCAATAGTCAACTGTTAATCACAGTTGATCATGAAGGGGAGCCTTGGAGCAACAGTCCGTCACAGGTTCGAGCTTGCATTAGAATAGATTGTTTGCATCACACACCTTTCTTGGGGGTGCGGCCCTTTCCGGATCCTCCGTGAACGCAGAATACCTTGTGCACCGGGCTGCCCAGTTGACTGTTAATGACCTACTTTCTAGGATACCTTTCATTGTATCATTTCTTTATTGAAGATATGGTAATGGGTCTCATCACCCTTATCTTATTTCCACTAGCAATCATGCATATGAATCTCATTTTTACAAAATTCCCATCATCTTCACGAAGACAAAAGTCCATATTGGCTTGTATTGGAAAAGAAAGCCACCCTCTCTGAGTCCATCTATCAACATATTCTGAATTATTTTTCACATTGAATATAATTGCCAAGTGGAAAGGCTCATTAGTTTTTGTATTTGCTGGTGAAGCCTATATCTGATTATGACATCTCGTGTCTTTCTTTTTTATCATTATTTTCAAATAGAGTATTTGTTGCATCAATCTGATGTGGAGCAGTCAATGTTGGCGTCACCTATCATCCTCGAGTCAATTCTAAGTTGCCTCTCCTTTAACTTCCATCACCTTCTTTTTTTCCTATTTAATACTATAATATATTCCTTCTACTTATCCAAATTACAAGTGAAATTCTTGGTTTTGATAGAACAACCAATGTAATTTTGCCAAGTCGCAGAAAGTGGCCCGTGTATTAGGAGAGAAGTGGGAGAGGGGGGCACAATAATATGAGTTTTATGTGCTTTTTGATGTGGGATTAGTGCTTAGTAGACCTCTTCATCTAGCTATCTCAGGCTGCTTTTTTGTGTATAGTGTGTGTGTGCTTATTCTCTTTCCTTATTTATTTATTTCATTTTCTTGTAGGTCGAGAGGGGGGTCGGGCATAAAAGGAAAAAAAAATATCCCTTTAGATATTTATTTTGGTTTTCTTGTAGATAAAAGTATGTGCTTATAAAGAACTGATCTGGCATGATGGAAATTTTTGGTTGGCAAATTCTTGAAAAGGTGTAACACAGTAGGATTCTTTTAGCAGCAAAGTTGGCTGCGTGACTTTAAACATGATGGAGCCCATTTGTAATCTTTTCTTACATCAGCAATGGCTTAATATGAGTAGATAAACTTGACAAATGGAAGAATCCACTTTGGCATTTTCCACATACTGCCTTTGCTATATTCCCACTGAATTTGATTCTCTAGTTGTTATGGCAAACCTTCACCACATCTAGTTAGTTTCAGAAACTAGTACTACCACTTTATACCCTCTTTGCTACAAAGTTTTCTCTTGCTTTGCGTACCGATCAGAAAAAGTTCTCTTGCGCTGCCAGCCTGCCCTTCACTACTGGACATGTATCTACTGACCGGCCCTTGGTTGTGTTCAGCGGCAGAGCTAGTATTTGAAATATATGGGTTCAGGATTCTGGTCCTTTTAAGTTATTAGATTCTAAATTAATAATTTATTCATATTCAATAGATTATTTAAGACAAATACAGGATTTAGACGGAAGCTACTGCAAAGAGGAAGCTCCGCCCCTTGTTGTGCTGCCGGACATGCAGGCACTTGTCGTGATCTTGATATAGAACTTGACATAGAAACCTGATTAGGGCAAGAAACGCTTGATTATGAAGGTCCTATATCTCTGTGTTGTTCCATTGATACAAATATTTCGACTTTGGATATCTTTAGACCTGCCTAGATTCCATCTGGGGCGGGAGATACCCTGCGCGCGTTTAACAGATCACTAGTGATCGCGACAGGAAACAGCTTTGAAGCGGACATATTCGATGCGTTTAATTTTGTCTTTGACAACAACTAATTTTCAAATTTGGCTGTGAAACATGCATGGCTGCTGAAATATATGTTATTATACTCTTCAGCAGATAATGATGGTTTCTTAGTCTTGATTCGGTTCATGTAATGTGTATATTAATTGAATTTTGCTTGCACAGGTAGTCGAAGACGGCGCAGCTTTTATTTTCTATTTCACACTGCTAACTTGGCTGGGGAATTGCTTATTGGACTTGAAGTCATGATCAATATACATTATATTCATACCAAAAAAAATTCATAGATTAAAAAACTCAAAAAATTAGTTGAATAGTTGATTCGTTTACAAATTGAATAAGAACAGAAAAGTTTCTCTGGCAATAGTTGTCATCCCATTTTATTAGAATTATTATAATAAGGGAACTATAATTGTGCTGACATATCATAGATTATGACATATTGCATAATTGTAATACTAGCCACTAGCCATGTTTTCTTTTTTGTTTTTTTAATCGTTGTTATGTGGTTGTGACTTGTCATTGTCCATTTCCAGTTTCTTTTATGCTTCAATTCCAAAACTTCCCAATTTTCAGAATTAAAGTTGCGTTTATTTCAAAAATTGTTGGAAAATATATATTTGAATATCTTTTCAACCAAACGTCAATATAGAAAAGTTTAACTTTCTTAAAAAATAAAATAAAATTTACGTAATAATTCAGTATTTCTAACTTTGATGTGAAATTTTATCATCAAGTTAACATTAAATCATTACTATCATAATTTTCTGCATTATTGCTGGATTTTAAATCTGATACGTTCTTATATCAAATAAAATGGCAGAGAGGGCGCAGAACAAAACTCACGACAAAAGAATAATAGAACATTACCCTTACTTTAGCCTACTCAGTGCTGTTATAATTACCATTAAGTATCATTTTCCTCAGTTCTGATCCAATTATAAAATATCCATTAGTTTTACAAGACTGCAGTACTTACCAAAAAATATGGTTTTATACCTTTCTATGATATTGTTGTCGAGATATAAAAATATAGCAAGCAGGGTGAAACAAGCCATAATGTGATTTAGAATGATCTGAAGTTTAAAGATACGTTAAGGTACATTATAAAGATATTTTGGAGATTTTGGAATGTTGAAATTTAATTAAAGCTTACAGGTTAAGAAGGTTACATAGCCTCAATAAAGATTAAAAAGAAATTAAAAACACTAAACTAAGAACATCTCTGTCCATCAATCTTCATAAACAAATATCCTTAAAAAGGAAGAATTTTTTCGAAGAATTGAGGTAAATATCTCTAAAAAAATATTTGTCAAATTTACCATCAGTGAAATTAAAATTCTTATAGTGGGGACTTGGGGATATATGCTTAACAGATATAAACGTTAAAATGAGAGTCACACGTACCACCAAAAGATGTGGTGCATTGGATGAGACTGCTCTTCCCTTAACCAGAGGTCTCGAATTCGAGTCCTGGGTATGGAAAAATCCTTGGTAGGAAGCGCTTCCCCCCGAATGGGGCCCTACGCAGCGCGAATTTAAATATAGTCGTACTCCAATGCGGATACCAGATACCGGATGGAAAACCAAAAAACCAGATACCGGATGGGAAGCCAAAAAAAAAAATCCACGTGTTTTCCCGACGGTGTTGCCTTTTATTTTTATTTTTCCCGTGGAAAGTATTTTCTAATATTGAATAAAAATAATTGCAAAAATGTGTTTATGTACGTTTTTGGGGTAATGTATAAAATCCTCCCAGCGTATAATCACCCAATTTCTTATTATTTTATTAGTTCCCTTTTATTTTCAACTAGTCTCTTCTAAGTTATTCATTCGATCTCCCATCTTCAACGGTCGAAACCAAATTCTCAATCTCCCATCTTTGACTCCTTCACAAAAATCACTCCAATCATAATTTTCTCTTTATTCTATTGCAAAATCGGCTCTAATATAATGTAAGTATGTAGTCTCTAACATTGTCGTTTATCGTCTTCGATTTCAGTACGTCGTTATAATCTAGGGTTTTATTTGATACCGTGGTGTTATAATCAAGGTCAGCGCAGAACCATTAGCCATTTATTGGTCACAAATCAAGACTAAAGGTTAGTTCTTTACCATATTCAATTGATTTTTTAGCAGTTTAGGGTTTTTTAATAAATTTGTTGTTATACAAAATTATGAGATTTTGACTATGAAACTGAGGGGTTTGCATGTCCATGTTAATACTAAAGTTTTGATTTTGCGTGTTTACACTGATGTGTTCCTGGTTGTAAGTAAATAAATAGTTTTCTAGTGCTGCCCTATTTTTCGGCATAATAATTTTGTTGTTGGGAATTTGTATTAATTTATTGTTATTGTTTATTTGCATTCAGGTATGAGTGTGTTTATATTGGTGACTTTAAGATTGTCTCATGGTGAGGTCTTAGAGGTTGAAAGTGGGGAACCAAGATACGTGGGTAATGACTAAATATGTGAATGTTGATGTAGATACAATATCTTATTTTTTGAGCTATTGGATTATATTAAAGAATTAGGGTATAACACAAGTTGCACATTTAGTGTTAGGCCAACCTTACTGTGACATTATAGAGAACAAGAACAATGACAGGGAGCTTTCAAGAATTGCACAGTTCTTGCAAATGGAGCTATTTTAGAAGTATATGTCCAACACATGGGTGGAGAGGAATATGGTTCAGATTTTAATAAAGAGAATGGGACCATTGAAGGAAGTGTTAATCAAAATATTGGGGTTAGTGAGGAGGCTTTAAATGGTACAGTTGCAGCTTCACCTACACCTATTGATCCAGCAGCTCCTCTACCATATCTAGATTCATCTTCAACTGAGGAGGAATCTGATAACTCAACTGAAGATAGTTCAAGTTAAGAAGATAGTGATTTTTTGGTGAAGGTGTAGAGGATTATGGCAGTGATATACATGAAGATTTCATAGAGTTTAGGGCTGAAAGAAAGTCTTTCCAGAGAAGAAAAAGAAAGGAGAGAGTTCTTGCTGACCCTAAAAATATTCCATGTGGTGTAGCTGGACCAGATCTGGGGTTTGATGAGACTGAAACATGTAAAAAAAAGTATAGAAGGTAGGATAGGAGGTGATGAACCATATTACCCAAGTTCTGATACATGTAGCTTTGAAACAGATGAAGATGAATGTTGGTTTGAAGATGGGGAAGAAGTTAGGGTAAATCTACCAAGAAGGGGATCTTCTTCTACAAAGAAGGTGATTTATGGTCCCACAAGTAAAAAAGTTGTGTGGCAGCTGGGTATGATTTTTGCATATGTGGATGAACTTAGATATGCAGTAACCAAGTATGCAGTTCAAAGGAGGGTTCATGTGGAACAGTACGCGAATGAGCCAACGACAATCAGGGTAAGATGCAAGGATAGTTGTTCATGGTTGTTGTATGCAAGCCTTGAAATATCAAGTAATAATTTTGTGCTTAAGACTTATAATTCAGTTCAAAAGTATAATACGGCCACCAAAAATTATTTGTGCAACTCTAAATACATGACTAAAGTGTTTAAAGATAAAATAATTGAGCAAGCAAACATAAGAATGTTCAAGTTACAAGAGTTAATTAGAAAGAAGTTTAAAGTGCATGTTGGCAAGACCAACACTAGGAGAGCAAGAGCCAGAGAATTGAAAGAAATTATGGGTGACCCTATTCTTGAGTTTGAAAGAATTCTTGATTATAGGAATGAATTGTTAAGGACCACCCTGAGAATACTTGTATGGTGAAACTTTGTGAAGCTAATGAATCTGGTAAGACAGTATTTTAAAGTTTCTACATCTGTTTTGGTACATTAAAGAATGCATTCATGGGGAGCAGAAATATATAGGTTTAGAAAAGAGGCAACTGAAACAAAAAATTCTGGAAAGTTGCCTAAAAATGAACTTGTCATGAGGTGTAGCATTTGCAAGAGTAGTGGTCATAACAAGAGAGGGTGTCATAAGAGTGCTAGAGAACCATCAGGTTCAGGAACTGCTGCACCATCAACTGTAACTTCTAGTGATGCAGAACCGTCAGGTTCAGGAAGAAATAGAGTCAAATCAAAGGTAATATAGTATATCTAACTATATCTACTTTCTTTTAAATTCAAATACTATATCTAACTATTTATCATCTGTTAGAAACCAATAAATTTAGAAGCTGAACCTACTGCAAAAAGATGGAAAGGAAGACCTAGAAAATCAACATTTATTGCACCTAATACCTCTATTGCAGCTAAATTTTCAACAATTGTAACTTCTGTTGCTGAATTTTCATCAACTGCATGTACCTGTTGCAACAGCTAGTATAGAAGGGGAAGGGGAAGATTAAAGAGTACAATTCATTCAGTACCTAATGCAACATCTACTGCTAGTAGAGATAGGGGAAGGGGGAATCTAGAAATGCATAGCTGCAACTAGTAGAGGTAGGGGAAGATGAAGATCTTGGAATGCAAGTCCTTCAATACCTAATGCAACATTTGCTGCTCATCATTCACTTGCCAGTTGGTTTAAATATTCTGCACCTAGTATATCTGATGCACCTGATACATCTGCTGCACCTAATGCCTCTACTGTTACACTAAATAGAGGAAGGGCAAGGGTGTGAAAAATATAAAATAATTTAAAAAGCCAAAAGGGATGGGAATGAGTGTGTTTCAAGCTGAAAATGGCTTTAAAACTTTGAATGTAAGTGTATATGTATATTTGTGTTATTCAATTTGCTTTGTATATTTGTGATAACTTATTAAGTTATTCTTTCTTTGCAGTCTAGTATGCCAAGTAGCAGAATAGTATCCAATGATCCAATAATGGTAACAAGATCAGTTGATGTAGCTAGTGACATTGGTTTCAAACCAAGTAGTGGACTAAAATGGAAGGGGAAACCATCAATCACAATAAGAAGGCTTCAAGAGATTAGAGGACAACATAGAATTCAAATAAGGACTGGTGGTTCAAACAACCTAAGCCAGAATAGCAATTTTTTACATCCACAATAGATTTGGTTATTTTTTTTGCTGCAATCTGCAAGTAAATAATTTTTTGATGTTTTTGGTTGACTGCAAGCAAACATTGTTTATCCTAAGCCAGAGATGTTGACTGTAATATGCAGTTTTTATCCTTATAGAACGATAATTTATTAGTATTCAAATGCTACCTTAGTACATAGGATGTTTTGTTTACTAAATTTGGTGGTATTTATGAAATATTGCAACTTTATTTCTATTAAATTCAGTGTTATCTTGCATTTAAATAAAGCTTAGCGAGAATCCACTTATTGAGATTTAATATTGTATTGTCATTTACACAAAAGCTCAATGTGATCTCTGTATTCATCAAATTATTGACTTATACATAGTAGTTGAAAGAATCAAAGAATCGATCATAAATCCAATTCATACATAATAAACTTCCAGATAGCATATACTAAAATAAAGTTAAATACCACAATAACAATAAAATAGAGTTATTACAGCCTTAATCAAACACTTCTAAATAATTGCTACAAACACAAAGCAACTGCTATTGCAGCTTTATTTGATCACTCTCCAAGTTGCCAACTTGAATTAGGATGTTGATACACATAGCAACAAATACATATCCCAATACACAAAATGAACTTCCTATTCAACCAACATTAGATCATTTTCTTTTTCTCCTTTGGCCCCTTCTCTTTTTCATTGTCAATCATAGCCAAATTAATATCGGCATTTTTCAAACTTTCAAACTCAACCAACCACCTCTTGAGGCTTCCATAATGCGTCAAACCTTCTTCCATCTTTTTAATTTTGTTGAACAATCTTGGAAGAATAAATTTCAATCTTTCATCAACTTCATTGTCCCTTCATTAAGAAAATTTGCAACACTTCGCTTGAAATTTCAAAAATTGGAATCAATTTAATGACAAAATACAGAGTTAGTCAACTACAATAGATGGACAATAAATGAACACATTGAAAAAATTTGCAACTCTTCGCTTGAAATTTCATAAATTGGAATCAATTTAATGACAAAACATAGAGTTAATCAACCAAAATATATGGGCTATAAATGAACACATACGCCATAGTAGAGGCAAGACCAAAATCTTCTACCAAGATTACGCTTTGACCAAGAAGTCTGCATTTGCAACAAAATTTCATGTTTGCATCGCACTTCAATATTGAGCATTAGGTCTTCATCTTCCATACAAAGTCTATTCAAGTTGGTATTTGCCATTTCATAATCTTAATATCTAATAGATAAAAGTTGGGGAAAAATATTCAAACCCTAAAATAAAAATAAAAATTCGAATTGACTAAAGATTAGTAATTTATGGTCTATTGATTAGAACTCACCTCTTCAATTTCAGCACCACCAGTAGAAGCTCTTCAACAATGGCAAATACTTTATATTTAAGAGGAGTGATAAAAAAATGGGGTTAAATAAAAGAGCTGAGTTTTACGTTTGAGAGCCTTTCTTATGGCTTATTTGGCATAACACAAGGCGATTATATAGCAAATGAAACTTTGAAATTTAGTCCTTACGCGCTTGGCAGAAGTGTAGTCACGTACGGGTTTAATTAAGCATATAAGGTTAAATAAATTCTGGAAAAAAATAAGTTTAGGGGAGGGAGGGGTAGTAGGACCTCCGAAAAGAAAAAGCGCATATTTGATAATATGGTCATAGGTTGGGGAGGATTTGATGCCTTATCCCTAAGTTTTTCAAATAGTTTTCGTAAAAACCCATTTTAATGTAATAAAACGTTTGAGGGCGGTTTGTTAAAAGAAAAATTCAGCTACACACAAAATGCTAACAAATCTATAAAAACTAAAATTATCCAAACATGTTTGCTTTTTGTGTCCAAATAATTTTTTTCCTTCAAAATTTGTCCAAATTGCTCCTTAAAATAACTTTGGGCCACATGTTCACATTCTGAAAACTATAAGACTCAATTCGGAGTTTAACAAACTTCTGAGAATTTAAGCATATACAATCTAAAGCAGCAATTGCAGTGTGGAAGGAGATGGATCGGTCAAAACAAGGAGATTCTGCTCATGGCTTAGAAGCTTCACTCATTCAATTCATTAACCTTCACCATTCTTCCTCTGTCAAGCTCCGTGATGCCACCGGTCAGTCACACAAACACACAAATCGGTTCCAATTTGTTTAATTATTTTTGGGGCATTTTTTGGTTATGGGTATTTTGGATTTTTTTTCTCAATTGGGTAATTGAAAGTTCGGATTTTATGAATTGGGTTATGATTTTCTTGAATTTTTGTTACAGAGAAGGCGAAGAAGGATGCAATTCGAAGTGCGAGACGGGTTTCAGAGCTGTTGGTGGACTCAGTTAATAGAGAAGTGCAAGAATCTTTTGTAATGCAAAAGAGAATTGAAATGGAAATTCGAGCTTTGGCTGCAACTATTTTGCAATTTGGGAAGCAAACTGATCAGTGGCTTGCTGCTTCTCACTCCATTAATACTGCAATTAAGGTCAGTCCATATTGCTATGTGTGTTGTCTTAGTTTCCAATTGCATTTTTGTTTCAATTTTATTTGTGTTTATAGTTTTCAAGATTGAATTCTTCTGATGAATATGTAGCTTCTAGTGGAGGGAAACAAGTACTCAGTATTGATAAAAGGAAAAAAAAATGTAGCTTCTAAGCTAAAACAGCCAGCCAATGTAAATGGCACCTTGTTTTAGTAGAACTAGTATGTTCACTTATTTTTCTGAGCCGAGGTGTACCGAAAACAGTCTCTCCACTTTCTCAAGGTAGGGGTATGGACTGCGTACGCACTAGCCTCCCCAGACCCCACATGTGGGATTTCATTTGTTATTGTTGTAGTAGTATGTTCACTTATCATTATAGAACTGTTTGAGGCTTGAGCATAGTAGTTCTTTTGGACTATTATTTGAGGAAAGTAACATAACCAAAAAAAGGAAGGAAGGGCAACCCCAAGAAATGTCTAATTTTGTGGTCATACATGCTGATCTTCGGGGGATGGAATTCGATTTTTTTGTTACATTTACTTTGCTAAAATTCCATTCCACTGGTATAACTTCAGGAAGGAAATTAAAATCAAATAACACCAATGAGTGATTCGCTTTTTGAAGTCTTAATTTCCAATTGCAATTTTCTTTCACTTTACTTGCCTTTATGTTTTCAAGATTGAATATTGTACGAGCTAGCACAGTCAACAAAGTGCTAGGTGATTGCTTTGCATGTGTCTTAAGTCTTGGTGGGTAGAGTTACCGTTACTTGCTAGTGGGAGTTAGCAAGTACCGGTACTGGTGAGCAAGACACCACCCGTTATCGAAAAAGAAAAGATTGAATATTCTGATGAATTCCCAGCCAAAGTAAATGTCGCCTTATTTTAGTAGAACTAGTTTGTTCACTTGTAATTATAGAACTGTTCTAGGCTTGAGCATAGTAGTTCTTTTGGACTACTTTTTAGGAAGAGTAAAGTAACCAAAATAGAAAAGTGAAAAATGGGAAATCGGAATAGAAGCCTATAATTTTGTGGCCATACATGTTGGTTTTTTGTGGATAGAATTTGAATTTGCAATCACATTTACTTTGCTAAAGTTCCATTCCGCTGGTATACTTCAAGATGGAAATTAGAATGAAATGAAACCTCAGTGATTCATTCATGATCTTCTATTTAGTTGACTTGGCATAGTTTATCAATCTTAGTCTTCACTTATTGAGAAGTTCACAATCCTTGCATATGTTCATATATTACAGAAATTTAATTATGTAATAGTAGAAGCATATTTGTTAGTTGCTCTTCGCTCAGCTAAAATGTCATAGCCATGGTTGTTAGAAACCCAATTTAACTCCGACAATTTCCAATTTTTCATGATCCACTGCCCTAAGTAAGCCAGATCCTGTGAAAATACTTTAGTTTTGCTTTTTGGTCCAAACATTGTGAACCTTTTATTATGTGAAAGACCTGACTATTAGATTCTCCTTTTGACCGAATGTTGGTGAGGTGTAGCAAAATGAGATGCTTTTATACAGTGGAAAGTGTGAATTTTTGTATTGATATGATGTATGTTGGTATTATCCAATTCCGCAGATACATATATATATATATCAGTAGCTTCAATGCACTTTTTTGGCGCAGGAAATTGGAGATTTTGAGAATTGGATGAAGACAATGGAGTTTGATTGTAAAAGTATTAATGCTGCTATCTGCAATATTCACCAAGAATGACATTTGGACCTGAGTTTTCAAAGGCCTATGATCTGTATCTAGTAATTTAACTCTGTTGACACTCTGTACAGGATATTCTTTTTGGATCAATGATATGAGATTGTGTTGATATCCGGACAATGACTTGCATTTGGCAACATGATTATAATCCTTTTGGCCAATATCACTAGTATATTACAAGTCTTGCAGTAATACATACAAAATTTCGTTATTCTCTTCAATTCCTCTCGAGGCAGCTGCAGCCTGCACTAGAATACCAACTGAACCATATTTTTGCAAACGAGGAGATTAAGTTCTTTTGATTCCCGAAATCCCAAAATAATAGAAGGGATAATAGCCTAACAATTTATCGCGCTACATATACTAGAAACTATACACAACCATACTTGAACAACACATCTTCTAATATACCAGTCGAAGAATAAAGAGATGATCAAAATGTAATTGAGGAAGAATAGACATGAAAAAACTTGTACAGACGATTGTACATATACAATGCCAACTTTAGACATTCCCTCCAAAACCGGAAAACGTGTCAAATAATAAATAAAATAAAATAAAAACTGAATCTCTAACATCCTAGTATGACACAATAAAAGGTAGGATCATGGACATGAACTCATCATAGGTCAGTTTTGCCGAGCCGGTATAACGTGTGTCTTTCTCCTTGAACTTTTCAGTCAAGCCCTGAAAATGCAAAAACAGAAGGATTCAGAGACAGTAACATCAAGGCAAAATACTTACTGTTGACAAATTTAAAAAGAATTCCATGTGATGTGTGCAAATATTATATTGAAGTTGAATTCCACCTCAATTCATTTCACTTTTTAAGGCAATATATCAGATAACGCACACTATATCTATTAGCATCTGGATGATCTTCTATGTTTCTGATATATAACCATTTTAACTTATATTCGGAAACACAGAGAAGTTCTCAATGCACAACCTATTCCCAAGAGATCCCTATGATCAACAGGCAGACATACTCTGACTGACTTGAGAAATGTGCATTTGTCCTTCATAAACCTGTCAAATGTCTATGATCTGAGGAAGTACATAATTCACATCAATGTTTTAAGGGCAAAAGGAGAAAGGGAGAAGTTTCACTCTTCTTGGGCAAGGAATTAGCCTTTCGAGATCGATTTATTTTAATTTTTGAAACAAAAAAGAATCTACACAAAATAAAGGATAAAAATCAATAATATAACATAAAATTCAAAAGAAAATCTGGAAGATTAATAAAGATTATTACATATTTTCTCAAATAATGCACAATACGCTGTTCCTACTGTATCCAAATAATGCACAATACATTGTTCCTATTGTTCTGATAAGACAATTGATTTACTTCTTAGACACAGTTCCATGCTACATCCTATTGTTCCTACTCCATTGCACTATCCACCATTATTTTTATTGTCAGACAAATAACAAAGAATCCCGACCCTAGAGTTTGGGGCCTGCCTTAAGGACCAAGTGTAATGGCAATGCATTGCCTCCAATGTTACAATCACCTTAGGATACTTATTAAAACATCAACTTCTTTGGCCTATTAACCACCAAACTATTTCTTTGCATAGCCTATATTAACCAACTCCTTCCTCTCAGCAATCATCTGCTCATTACTCACTGTTCAGCAAACTATAGTGCTAGTTTCTTGATAACCCAACATCTCAATCGTCATCGCTCACTATCAGCGAACCTAATCATACTGACCTACAAGACCACCACTACTAGCCCTATAGCCATTAATTTACTTCTAATAAGCCATGACATGCTACACCTTTTTGTTCCTATCTATAACACTTTCTACCATTACCGTTCACTTATGCTGGCCTGCATCGAGGATCAAGCTTCACATCTGATAACTTGTCCACAGAAAATGCAAGGTAATCTAACTTGTCCACAGATTTGTTGTCAAATTTGGTTTGTGAGGTAGCTAAAATAAAAGGAGAACCATTTCTTGAATGTCCTCATAGATTCCTCTTTTTTCTGTTGCTTCTCTTTTGTTTTGTTCTGCTTTTTCTTCTTTTTCTTCTTTTTCTTTTCCTTTTCCTCCTTTCCCAAAACACGAATTCACCATGCTTCAGTTTTCCAAAGTGGATTTGAGAAGTTTCGGTACTAAGACTAATGAATGCAAAATGGAGAAGCTAAGCTGATGGTGTGTGGACAAAGGAACAAGGTGAAAATCTTGAGAAGTATTTAAATTGATAAACTGAATTTTCAACTTCATAGCGGATCCTAAACAGTAACAGTATCGTGTTAGTTGTTAAGGATTGGTAGCCATGGCAGAAGGTAAGGTTATACTAGTGAATTCTCATTCATAGGTTCCTTCCAGGTGGAAAGGTCTGAAAGCATATTGAGAAGCTTTACATAACTGATGAGGGTTACTTAACAGAAGAGAAGATCTAGGGGTGGACTAAGCATGATTGGACAAAATTCAATACCAGAGCTTCATCAACTTGCCTCTTAGATGGACAACATACAACTCCAAACTATTTTTAGAAGTTCCATTAACCACCCTCCTAGTGAAATACCATAGTGCAGAATCCTCTTCTATGCTAGTTGATATACATGCTATTATTTACATATTATATAGACGTTACACGCTTTTTTATTCAGCGATCACCCTCCTAGAATTTATTTTTCACCTTTCTCTACTTGAAATGAAAAGAGTTCTAGGTAACTAATGCTTTTAGAAAAGGCTAGCTAACACAAGACAGTTACAAAGATTTATCTGAGAGGCAGATAAGGGCTACCACTTCGTGGACAAGGAGTAACTTGACATGCAAAAAAGGCAGAATCCAATCCTCAAAGGTTCTTCTGAGAAGCTGAAGATGGATGTAGCCCAGGATATACAACTTTCTCATATTTTAACCGTGTAGCTATAAAAGCTTAATTAGAAATCACATTATATCCCTGTCAAACGTAAGCAGCCAAGGGAATATTGGAGAGTAGAATTTCAGTTGACCCAATGTTGATCAAGGATTTTCAAGTCAGTAAGGATTGAACTCCTAAAATTTGATTTCTTTTATTAGGAAATTAAGCAACGGGGATTCTTCAATTCAGTAAATTAAGGTTAAAATTATTAGCAAGGGTTAAACATGATTATCAACCCCAATGATGGGAACATGTTAATTCCTCATGCTTTTCACTCGATAACGCAAGGAAGTGATTGGATTGACTAGTTGTAGTAAATACCAGTAACTATTCGAGCTTAGAGATGAGGAGAAACCTATCTTTAATTGATTTATCATTACTAGCATGATTTCTCAGAAAGTATGTATGTTTTTGGACAGAATTATTAGATCTCATATTTTAAGTACGTTTTATTTATATGCTTTCCAACCTGCACATGCAAGGACAACTTGATGCTTGTATTGGCGTATTTTAAGTTTCGGCTAACAAATTGAGTAGCTTGATTGATACTATATTTGATGATTGCATCATGTGTTTATTGCGGTTCTTAACAAAGTATAGTTCAAGTTACATGTGTGTACTCATAACCTTTTCACATATGTTCTAGACGTCTTGGGATACATTATACTTCCTTATATGTTGTTTACACGCCTGAAGTAAATTTGTGTTTCTCGAGGAAACTCTAATAGGGGGAAGTTGGTATCACTTTCTGTAAAGGGGCAATTTCAAAGAACAGTACACATAGGGGTGTAGCAATTTTAGTGTATGCAACTCATATAGTAGCTTAAGATTCATCTTTATAAAAATAAAAAAACAGTAGCTTAAGATTCTGATGTTCTAGCACCCCCTAGCTAATGAGGGTAATGTCAGACCAGTGACTAAAATGAGGAAAGAAATATATAAAAGCCAGGCAGATGTATTACAGAAATTGAGATATCAAGTAGCAAAGTATTTATAGAAAGAGATCAGTTATTTTACCTTCACAATCATCCCACATCTGCATCATTAAAACATAAAGTTCAGAACATAGCCAACTTAAGAACCTATCTATTCGATGAAAAGGTTTATTGCAGAATGAGGCTTACTCGACAAAGCTATCAAAACATAGTTCAGGCCTCCGACTGCATCCGTCAGTATATCTGGAGATCAAAACTTCAAGAACAGAAGGTGGCACCATGTATCCAAGACTGTAGAGAGCATCCCTTAGTTCTGTCGCATCAATCTTCCCACTTCGATCTCTATCAAATCTCTCAAATATTGCCTACAAACAAGAGGATCAATGTCAGAGGCAGTAATTATAATTTGCAAAGTGGTAAAGATGATTTTGGAAACAAAAACGGAAGGCAGTGGTAAGGTGAGAGTGAGGCACAATGGTATATCAGCCACTATGTTATCCTCAATACTGCGCTCCATAATTTTTTTAATTGTTAATATTCTCCTCCATAATTCTTTTGGAGGCAAAAAAGAATTCCTAAACTCATCCATAGTAAGTCCACAAAAATATCCACACTATGAGCATCTTTCAAGTTACACTATAAGAACGAGAACTGTAAAGCTTTAATTTTTACGCATGATAAAGATGAATGTCTGTTCTCAGAACATCTATAATTTCTCTCTCCAAATTGTACAAAATGTTTACAAACCACTTTCTATACTGCAGTAGCTTCTCTCTCTAATGTTCCATAGGTGTCGAAAACCTAGAAAATTACCCCAGGACAAGGACTTATTGGGCTGCATATAATTTATTTAGTGTCATTCTCTCTNATCTTTTTTGTCTTCCTGATAGAGGTTTTGATACTCTAATTTCTTGACTGTTAATACTTAATAAAAACCTAAAGTAGAAAGCAATTGAACTGTGTACCCTCCATTGACCAAGACAACTCCATAGTGCAGCAAATTCCTTTGGTCCTGTTCAACAATACATGGCAAAGCTCAATTAAATAAGATATAGCAAAAACAATATTTGGAGCAACAAAATTAGACAGCAATGTCATATAGCTAACACCCACAATTTTTTTTAGAAGCAAAGAAAAATACAAGCGATATATTGTACTCATTATTTCTGATCAGAACAACAAAATCACCATTGTAAATTTGAACTACATTGATAGAAAGGAAAAGTTATATACGAACTACGAAGTGATTAGACTAATAGCAAAAAGCGAAGACCTAAATTCAAAAAAAAAAAAAAAAAAAAAAAAAAAAATGAGTAAAAATTGAACTAACTCTTGCCAAGCCGTTTGGACAACTTTTTGAGAAACTTTTTGCATATTTTCAAAAAAGATATATGTTTGCGCAGCTGTATTTTTTTTTAAAGATTTCGGACTGCTTAGTGGGTAGAAAAAGAGCTTTTCTCAGAAAGAAAATCCTCCAACCACCTCTTTAGCTAACTGATTGTTTTTTGGGAAAATTAATGTGCAAAAGTTCTTTAAAAGAAAAACATCTCCCTCTGCTCCAATTTGTTGGCACTATTTCCCTATGCATACGTTCCAAAAGATTGATACAATTTCTATATCCGGAAACATCTAACTTTAAAATTCTCATTTGAAAGTCAATGAGAAGCTTTTGTAGCTACACTAATGTTATGGCATGTAAGACCACACATCCCAAAAGTCTTGTAATTATACAAATGTTATGACATGTTTAAGACCACAAGTTTTAAAAGTACTCATTTTGTCTTAAACTTAGTGTTGAATCAAACTATAGGGAAGAAATTGGAAAGGAGGGGTAATCCAAAAGCATACTTGGGATAAAGAACCCGACAACTAAAAGCATGGCAAAAAGGGAAACTTATTTGTAAAAAATGACCAAATAAGAAACCCAAGAAGGGGAAAAAAAAGAAGAAGCTTACCAATGCGTGGGAACTGGTCAGAGGGATTTTTGAAGAGAAAGATGAGCAAACGAATAGTCCTAAGCCTAAACCTTTGGTAACCCGAAGAAAGAGCCTCTTGTAACTCCTTCTCTTCAACAAACCCACTTTGGTCCCTGTCCACCATCTGGAAGCTCTGAATAACTTGTGGGTCAGTCCCTGGTGGAAAAAAAGCAGCATAATTTGGAGTAGGCTGCTGGTAATTATACCCATAAGAAGAAGAAGAAGTAGGCCCATATCCATAACCACTACTCTGTGGCTGTGGCTGTGGCTGCTGAGACTGAGGGTAATTTGGGTAATTTGAGTAATTTCCCGAAGAAGAAGAAGGAGGAGGATGATAGGGATGGGCTACTGGGGGCTCGTTTGGGTCGGAGAGAGGTGGTGCTGAAGGAGAATAAGTTGCTCTGTTGCCGTAGGATGACATTGTTGTGTTGATCGTGAAATGGATTTTCTCTGGGTAACGTCAGAATAATGGTGGTTTAAATTGAAAAAAATGGGTTTTTATTGTTGTAGTTGTGGATTTGAACAGCGGATAGAGTATTGCGTGTGTCGCTGTATTGACAACTTGACACGGTCAATGTTTGGGTTAATGCTGCTCGGTGGGCCGGGCCTGAATCGGACCGGACCGGGCCCGTAGTNGTTTGGGTTTAAAGTAGGACAAAGAACTACGTGTCTTAGCTTAGCGCACTTCCATTTCGCTTTTGATTTCTCTGCACTTGCAAAAAGTATATTTTATATGTATTTGATTTTTTTTTTGGTCAACATCCCTCCGGAGCGAAGCCACCTTTTACACCAAAATATTACGAAAAATTACATTGTATATACAAGTAAAATACTGATTTTAGATGTATAAAATATATATTGAACACCATTTGTCGGGAATTTCTTTTTAGTTCTTTCAAGTTTGAACACTCTTGGAAACATTTCTGGCTTCGCCACTGCTCCCTCCGTTCCAATTTATGTGAACTTGTTTGACTGGACACTGAGTTTAAGAAAAAATAAAGACTTTTAGAATTTGTGGTCCTAAACAACTCAAAAAGGGAACCAGAATATTTGTGTGGTTATAAAAGCTTCTCATTAAGGGTAGAATTGTAAGTTTAAGCTAAATTGTTACCAAATTTAGAAAATAGTCATTCTTTTTGGAACTGACCAAAAAGGAAATAGGTTCACATAAATTGGAACAGATGGAGTATTAAATTAAAAGTAAGAGCCAATACAAGGAGCAAAGTGTACGCTTTGCATATTGTTACAAAAAGAAGTAATATTTGTACCACTATAATGATCCCTAGATGAGCTACAATATTATCGCCACTGTCATGTTCATGCATACAAAAGGATATGTTGTTTGTTGATGTAGGCATTGTTACGTTTCTTGCGTAAGCGCTACCCTTTGGTCGTCCAGAAGTTGCTGATTCAAAAAGGTGGGTGGTTGTTGTAGGATGAGAGTCTGCTCCAGTGAGGATTGTGTGGCTCCATATTGTGCAAGTTTATCTGCAACGCGATTCTTCTCCCTGTATGTGTGCTTGATGGTTGGGTTACCCAATTGTCGAAGCAAGTACCTACATTCCATTAGTATTGATGAGTAATGTAAATTGTGATGGTTTAGCATCGAGATTACCTCTGTAGAATCCACGTTGATTTCTAATGGGATGAAGTGATGATGTCGTGCTAATTGTAATCCCTATAATAAGGCACATAGTTCCATATATGCAGAGTTTCCTGTGGGTCTTGTGCCCATGAATCCAAGTAACCAATGTCCTATATTATTTCGGAAAACTCCACCTATGCTATTTCTGGGTTGTTGGCCTTTAGAGGATCCGTCAGTGTTTAATTTAATAGTACCATGTGTAGGAGGGTACCATTTGACATACATGGGTGTGATTGTTGGTTTTTGTGATTGCTTCTGAATAATAAAGTTATATTCAGCTGTTTGTGAAATTAATTGCTGAATTTTTGGGATGGGCGTTTGATGTTGGAAAATGAACCAATTACGTAGGTTCCATATATTCCATGTTGTATATGGACTTAATAATCATGAAGGTAGGTTTAACAACAGATTATTAGTGGTGTGAAGTAATGTGTGGATGATTTGAATATGTTGTGTGCTTGGAATATCCATACAGTGTAGGTCGTTTGTGAGGCCTAGTTGAGTCCATATGCGGAGAGCATTTGGGCATTGGAATATGAGGTGATTAATTATTTCCTCACCGTGTAAGCAAATGGAACAGATGTTTGAAGTTGTGATATGTATCTTATAAAGATGAGTGGCGGTGGGCAACCGTTGGTGGGAAATTAACCACAGGAAAAGGATGATTTTTGGAGGTAGGTTTAATTTCCAAAGTCAAGGTAGGAGTATTGGTTATGAGTGCCAGTTAATTTATTTTACAAAGATTTTACTAAGAAATGTCCAGAGGATGTAAGGCCCCAAATTATTTGATCAAAGGAATGGAAGTTAGCAAGTGTTGGAACATGAATTTTACGGATTAATGAGAGGGTTTGGATAGGTAGGTCAAAAAACAAATTAATAGTATTAATCATATTATTTGTAATGTGTTGATTGACCTTGGAATCTTCTTCATGTTTGTGTAATGGCCATTCTATGACTTTTCTATGTGTGATATTTGGTCCTATCCAAGGTTCATTCCAGAAGTTAATATGCTGGCCTGTAGCGATATGTCAGACAACTCCTTTTTGGCAAAACTTCCAGCCTAATTGGATAGCTTTTCAGATGTTGGAGGTTTGGCTTTGGTGAGTAGAGTATCTAGTTAGTAGTAGGGAGGCCTATAATGAGCCAGGGGATTTTAAAAGTCACCATGCTAAGTTTCCTAGTAGGGCATTATTCTTGGTGTTCAAATTTTGAATGTATAGGCCTCCTTGACATTTTGATTGTTGAACGAGTGATCATTTGATAAGGTGAATTTTCTTTTTGTGTTGAGTAGTACCCTAAAGGAAATTACGTTGATAACGGTTCATTTTAGATATGACCTGTTGCGGGAGTTTAATGACTTGCATTACATGATTAAGGAGTGTATTCAGCATAGATTTAATTAGGGTAGTTCGCCTTGCTATTGTAAGCATATTGACTTTTCACCCCGCCAATTTTGTTTTAAAGTTATCCAAGATGAACTAAAAGTCGGATTTGATGGGGCTTTGTACTAATAAGGGAAAGCCCAGATATTTTCCAAACTGGACTCCTTCTTGCATATTGAAGGAGGTTAGGACAAAAGATTTATCTATTTGAGTTACATTTCTAGAGAAATAAATTGTTGACTTAATAAAATTAATGCTTTGTCCTGATTTTTGTGTGAATTGATTAAGAGTATCTATAATGGAGTGGACACTCGTAGTGGTTAACCTGGAAGTTAATGTGATATCATCGACAAACAATAGGTGAGAAATTTTTGGGCCATTTCTTGAGATCTTTATGGCCTTCCATTTTTGATAGTCAACTAAATAATGAATTTGTCGTGATAAATGTTCCATGCATAATATGAAAATGTAGGGAGATAAGGGGTCACTTTGGCGAATGCCCCTTGTGGTGTGGGTGAGAAGTATGGTCTTGGATGACCATCTAGAAGGATAGAGATGAAAGTGGTGCTGATGCATGACATAAATTGGTTTATGAATTGGCTTGGAAAATTAAAGAAGTGCGAAATTTCTTTAATGAAACTCCAGTCCATTTTATCGAAGGCTTTTTCTAGATCGAGTTTGAGTAAGAAATTAGCATACTTACCTTTCTTTTTATGAAAAGAAATAAGGATTTCTTGGACTATTATGGCATTATCCGAAGCTCGTCTTCCTTTTTGTCATGACCCAAAAATCCCTCCGAAGGAGTCGTGATGGCACCTAGTCTCTAAACTAGGTAAGTCTAACATTAACTGAGATAACATTTATATTTACTAACTTTAATTTAAATAACTCTTAACAAATTTCAATTTCCTAAACTGGTGGTACAAGTCATAAGCCTTTCTAAGAGTAGTTATACAAAATAAATACATCATTGTTCCGAAACAAAAGAAACAAATGAAAATAAGTACAAATGAAGGTGACTCCGAGACCTGTAAACGCTGCAGCAGGTTTACCTTGAGTCTCCACCGCAACGACCCGCACAACTACTACCGATCAAATACCTGAATCTGTACACAAAAATGTACAAAAGTGTAGTATGAACACACCACAACGGTGCCCAGTAAGTATCAAGACTAACCTCGGTGGGGTAGTGACGAGGAACAGTCAAGAAACCTACTGGTCAAATAGATTAAACATGATATGATAACAAATATCAAGATAAAGGTAACAAGGTAATATCAACAACAGGGATAAATCAAACTACAAATTGTCGAAATAATAAAAGGGGACTCGGATAGAAACGAAAGATAACCAAGTAAATTAACACCAACATAGCTGGAACACAGACAAGTAAAAAAATGTACACGAAAGGCGATGTTAGCTCAATATATCATATCATTTCTAATACACAATTCCAATCATCTCAAACTCGATGTCTCATATCATAATCTCAATTACCAAACCTTTAGCACACCCGGCATCTTGTACCCACATATTTCTATCTCTCTTTGCACAACAACGTTCTCATGTTACTCAGTACATAGGGTCCATAACCAATATACTGAGTACAACATAAAGTAGAGTACAACTTCTAAGCCAATTAAGAACTCAACAAGAAAAGATGAAGTTATTTTTAGAAATCATTTGAATAAAGAAAGTACCATTTTCAATTAAAATACAACATCGAATGAATTATTATATTTACCATGGGATTTAATAAATTAACTTAGTAGAAATATTTTTTTAAGTAAAATACAACCTCAGACGGTTTAAGAAAATTTAATTGAGTAACTAATTGAATTACAAATGAACAATTATTGAAACTTGAAGTATTGAAATATGTATATAAATAGGGCAAAGTATCGAAAAACACTATGTGGTTCCATCACAAAGGATCACAACAGTAAATGAATCTAAACAATTAAAACACTTGAATTGATAACCACAAATAAACACAACAAACAGAAAGTGAACGACATCACCCTTTGTGCTTTATCACTCTTCCTCACTATATGCATAAACAAAAATGTGCACGACATCATACTTCGTGCTTTAACTCTCTCATAATCATGGCACGACATCACCCTTCGTGCTTTTACTCTCAATAATATGGCACGACATCACCTTTCGTGCTTTACACTCTTCCTCACAATATCATGCACGACATCACCCTTTGTGCTTTACACTCTTCCTCACCCAAACAACAGAAACAATGACATCCCGGTAAGGGAATCAACAATAGAAATCAATAGAATCCTGGCAAGGGAATCAACAATAGAAATTAATAATATCCCAGCAAGGGAATCAACAGTAGAAACAATAACATCCCGACAAGGGAATCAACAATAGAAACAATAATCTCTCAGCAAGGGAATCAACAATAACCAATCTTATTTCAACAGCTGGCTTCGCAATATAGATCTCAACTTGAGTCA